TGTACCCTGGTTTGGTTTTCGTTAGCAAAATAAACAACAGAAACCAAACACCTGGGATGAAGACCATTCTTTATGTTTGAAATAATCTTGTTTAGAGTCAACAAACTGAAGAACTTGAACCATGAACAGACTAAACATTTTTAGCTCACTTAGAAGAGTAATTGTGATTTTACCATAATCGTAACCAACAGCATTTGTGCTAAATACGTTTTAGTGCATTTATGCAACTGTCATTTTTCTGGTAAACCATTAAAACCACTATGTTTACAATTTAAAACTATAAATGTACTGGTAAGTAAGATTCCCAATGAAAAGAAAAAACTACTTAAATCACTGCACTAGGGGGTAAAGGACCCCTCAAGCTCCTCCCACATAATACTTGCTATGTAAATATGATTTACCAGTGTTGTGGGTTGGGACGCCAAGCTCTCTGCAAACCAAGTATTAAGCCTTATATGTTTAACTATTCAATACTTCATCCTGGTCTGTACAACAAAATCTTGTTCTTTAGCAACAACAACAACTGCTGGTAGATTAGCTGACAGTCGAGTGATAAAAAACTCCAACTTAAAACAACATAGCCCCAAGCCATGATAGTCAACATTTATACTACCATCCTGTCAAGATTTGTCACATTCTACTGAAGAACTGATGACTTATGTAATGTGCAGCCACCGGGTTGCTATGGCTGACAGTTGTAAATTTCAACTACGCATTGTGTACAAGGCATGGGAAAAAAAATAGTAATATGGTTTTATATTGTGTAGTTTCCGATGTCCGGCATTTTTCTCGTTTCTCATCAAAGTTAATAACACATAATTATAATGTAGGATATAAGTTCCGCAGACAGTCATGTTTTTTCAAGCATGCTGACATTTTCAACCTCTTTCATACTTATAACTAAGAATTCAAAGCAAACATGGCCAGTCATGCTGTAGAGGTTAAGTAAACATAGATTATTTGCAGATATCTAAAAAAGGGGGGGAGGCTGCTATTACATTTGCTTTACAAACATGTATAATTAAGCAAAAAATTTAAAAAAAAATTCTTTTATTTATTATCCAGATTTTTGGTTTAAGATATGTACAAAGTGAACCTATTATATTTGAGTATTGATTCAAGTCACTTTTTGGCAGCCATCTTGGATTGGTGGCTATTTTGGAATTGTCTGTTTACACATGTATTTTCTTTGACTCTCAATTAAATGGAGACACTTTGATTGCATGTGCTGTGATTTCTCAAAGCAATTATTTAAAAAAACTTTGGCATAGTAAATATAGTGGAATATTTTTCAAGTGAAAGTAGCCATCTTGGAATAATTTGTATATAAAGATAAAAATGTATCTACATTTCTATGAGTTAGCCATTGCTGCATATGGGAATTATAGATGAATATACACATTGCTGGGCTGGAAGATAACATTTCTAGGTCAGGTAACAGGTGAAAAAGTCATACAGAGGTTGAAAAGATGAAAATAAGGTTACATGAGAAACCGCATGACAGAAATGCAGACTGTCTGCAAATCAAGACAATGTCACTTCAAAACGTGCAGGTAGCCATGACTACATATGTGACGGAATGATGCATTCAATACCTTAGAAGAAAGTGACAAAATTGTTCTTTTATGCAGAGGTGTTACGTTTGCGTTTTCAACCTGTCTACTTTAACGGTAGGGTTGTTCCAAACACAGCGGCACTGTGCCAGTCCATTAGTGTAGATGACGTGCTATAACATCTATTTTCATCCACTTCTTTAGTTGCATTTATATATAATTTGAAATTCCAAACTAACCAGCTTTGCTCAATCGAGATAACAATCATAGTCTCACAACACTTCAAAGGATAATCCTTTCATGCTTGCAGACTGGAACGCTAACCAATGCAACAATACCCGTAGTCGTAAAGGCAACTGGTGTCCCTCTTTCAGGCCTTTCTCACTTACAAGTAGAAAATCAGACTAGTATATTTGCAGGAATGAAGAGTTGCGGGAAAACTTTGCAATAGAATTTTTGCAGTTAAGTATTTTTTTTATTACACCACCATACTCGTCTGACTTAGCACCCATGCTTGATAAGTGCTCACCTCCTACTTTTGGGGCATTTTTGTTCTCAGGGTCACATTCAACTAAGCGCCCATCCTTTCAAAAATGCCTCAAATTTGACTGTCTAGTCATAAAACCTGGTCTTGGTACATTGTTTGAGTATGAGTAAATTGCTAATTACCATTTTTTTTTAAATAATCGTGCCATTTTTTCACCAAAAACAATTCCAACAGAATATACTTTGACATGGATAATTCACTTCCGCACTGCGTTATCGGAATGCCTTCGAGAATTCCTGGAGAATTACATTAAACAACACAGCATTCTGATTGGTTAGTAGGTTTGACCTACCAGGTCAAAGGACCTGTTGCAGGGCAAATCGTGCAGAAAATATCACTGCAAAGATTGCTTTGCTACGAGAGTTTACGTATAATCGAATACAACTGACAACAAAGATAATAATACATTGTAAATTCTGATGGTACGTAAATAATATTGTAATAAAATGTGTGTATTTTACGTGTCTATTTATGTTTCTTTATTGTAAAACTGTTGTCATGGACTTGTAAACTCATTTTGCAATTTTATTTTCTACAAACAGACATAATATTCCCCCCTTTCCTCGTCTGGCACATTGTGATTAAATAATTTTTCGAGTGGGGGTGCTTGACTAAGTGAACACCCCTTAAAAACAAGATTTTTGGAGCTGAGTACCTTGGGCGCTAAGTCGTGCAAGGCAAATGAAAGAATTATATTTACAAATGTTGGGTGAAAAAGTTGTTCAAATTTATGGCAATGCGTCATTTCAAACAACATTATGAAGTCAACAATTCAAACATATGGGACAGAACAGTACTTTGTGGATAAGTGGGTCTTTTTTCTTTTAATGTAATATTTCTTTCATTTTCCAGTTCTTGGTGTCTGTGTGAGTTTTGTGTACTGAAAATTTCATCAAACAAAAAACATTTGGCTCAGATATATCTCTATTGGAGATGCACTTCTAATACAGCGAAAATGGCAACTCAGTTCCACAGGAATTTTTCAATTTTCGATATCTCAGCAATTCAAAGACGACACGGCTTTCAAACTTACAGGGTGACACATTTTGGTGTTTTGGTGGTGATGAAAAGGTTTGAAAATCCCTCACAAAATTTATTGATAAAATAATGGCTCCAAATCACTGCTATAATATTCATAGCTATAAATGTTCATTTTGTGGAAAACAAAACAATTATTTGGTCAGCTTTTTATAACAGGCAGACTTGCCAAGAACTAATTTCTATTGTTAGGGGTTTCTTTAACTGTATATAGGCTTTCAACATATCTGCTGGCTTTCTTGACTCCAGATATTATTAATTGACCAGAGGAATTTCCCCCACTTTAACCATGGGAAATCCCTGATAGATGTTATCATGTATTTACCAACAACACTTTGGCACATGTATAAAAGTGGCCCTTATATTATATGGTTTAAAAAGTACAAAAAACAAAACAAAAATGCAGCTGATCTTTCTGTATTAGGTAGTTAATTATTTTGAATTTATGAGAAATTAAGCAACTGTTAATACTGATTTATAAGCTTTGAGGCAATAATCTGGGTTAAAGTACTATTATGAGGTGTGGATAGCAAAGATACTATTTTCAGTTTGGTAAGTCTAACAAAACTATCAAAGAAGGTAATTTATGAGGCATGCAAATACCAATACTTTACTAGAGCAACTGAGATCGGTCGGCTTAGAGTGTGAAATAGTTTCCCATATCCGTAATGGTTGAATACCAACTGAAAGCACAACCTGAATTGAATGAATTGACTGACATCTAGTTGACTTTTCTCATGTTGTGAACGGTATATGAAACAAGACTCTTTATGAAATGTTACACAATTACAAGGAGTGTAATTGGCAGTGTAATTCAGCATTGTGAGCGTTGAATTTGTACAAATGTCACTTTTGTGATTTAGACAGGTAGTCAGCTGTCTTGGCAGATATTCAAATGTTGTGAGCGTTGAATTTGTACAAAGCACTTCGGTGCTTTAGACAGGTAGTCAGGTGTCTTTATAAAATATAGTAACCATCTACAATCTACAGTCTACATCTACAGTTTTAGCACAATAAGACTAAGGTACTTCTAGGAATGAAACGGTAACATTTTACAGAACGTTTTGCAATGCAAGTCGCAATGCAAGTGATTTTTAGAGAAATCAAACAAGGATATAATATTTTCTTTTCTTTGTTCCATTTGCTTGAAACTCATGTTACAAGTGGTTTCTTCAATATACAACGCAACTCAAGCACAGCATCACATAAGGGTGAGCCTCAGGCAAGCTTTTTGGGTGGCCTGGCTAGATATCATGTTATTCTGTAAACGGTTCATTTTTCATTGCAAGAAATTTTAATAATTTCAGGACATTATGACATTCGTGAAGACAAAGTTTCACCAGAAATATTTTCACTGCTACAAAATTTGTCATTGACTTGCAAAAATTTGTCTTTATTGAAATTAAAACAATTATACTGTACATCATTAAGTGACTGCCTGATATTAATGGTTGCATTGTTCTTTGACTCCTGAAAATTATGAAAATTATGATACACAACAATTTTGTACTGTGCAATTTATATGATGCATGGCAACTGAAATTTGTTATCAAGCGCAAGTCAACCACAGGCTGGCCATATGTTATGTTATACTCGAGCTGTACAGTATTTACCCTGTAGGCTAAACCCCGATAACTGGTTCTGAGGTGCAATGAAAATGGTACATGGTAACACACACACACACGCACTCTGACCAAAAACAAATCATTCTTTTGCCTTGCTACCCCCACCTGAAAACGGGCTACAGACCTCATCGCAATATTGGCCTGCAGGGAACCCTGATTAGTACAATTGAATGTACACTCATCATGCATCATTGATGCTAGAAATATCAAACTTCAAATTAAACTACCAAAAATTACCTTGGCTTCTTCTCTTAACACCTGCAGTTGAACTTTCGCGGGTAGTAGATAGTCAGTAAAGAACGTCCTGCCATCACCATCGTATTGATTATCCACAATCTGACACACTTGTCCTATGATTATTGGCGCCGTAGAACGGAACGGTGGGAATAGTCTGGACAACGTCTCCTGTACGCTGTTGTCAAACGCCTCCTGAGAGTCCTACAAGTACAAAACAGGGTAGCAATGAGTAATAATCAATTAGGCCTTGCCATGCATGCCTGCACGCTTTGATTCTGTGTCAGGTTACTTGAACTCAGTGCTACCTGCTGTTTGAATTTGACAGTGGTAAGGTGCTCATGTTTCAAGTGCTATTCATCAAGTTTGCTCACAGGTAGCATCAGCTGATCTGCAAATGTCAGTTTTGTTTTTTAACCGAATTCTCAAGTATTACGGAGTGCGAGGTGCAGATACCTGAAACCTGAAACAAGTAAATGTGACTGTATCACTTGTGTGTTAAAATTCTATAAGTGAAGTCTAGTTACATGGTGTGCAAAAACAAACAGTTTACTAACAACATACTAACTCAAAGGAACAATGGGGAAAAAAACGAGGGTTTAGTTACTGAGGATGAAACTAGAGAACTAATGTGTGCTGCAAAGTACAGGTAATACAATACCCCAGGTCTTGTAAAACACAGCCATACAATAGACTACTTTCACGCAGGTACAATAACCACCTTGCAGATAGAGACACCTAGCTGCACGTGTCTGGGATCTTGGAATATAAAGCGCTTATTTTTTGCGATATTCGTGAGGATGAGATTTTGTATTAGTCGCTAATACTCACTTGAATTACCCCCCCCCCCCCCCATACTTTCTCATAAGTAAAGTTGTTTACGTATACATGTATATATATATAAGCTCTGCTGGAAAAACATCTCCAATAGGAGCACACATCAACCAAAAATGTTATTAAATGTATAACATTGACCATAGCCGTACCTCAGCTCATTTGCATAAGGATATATATATGCACTAAAAATAGAGTAAATACAGTAGGGAGAAACTAATACTAGCAGTTACAGGGTCAGTGCAAGTCATTGTCAGTAGTCAGTATGAAATCTATGCAAACGAATATTTGAATAAAGCATGAATAAATTACCCACAGTATAAGAATGAATCACATGCATCATAAGGCAGGTCCTGTTTTTATAAACCTACAACTTTAAAAACACAGTTCAAGTTACCACATCATATGGTTACTCAAAAATATAAATATACCGTAAAATTAGGTCTATTTGGTTCAAAATTAACAAACAAATTACAGAAAAGTACACAAAAATGTGCAAAATGTTTCAACATACCGATACTTGTACTTTTGGCGAGGAAAAAGAAGTCATTCAAAGGACCAAGTACATTTTGACCTGGTTAAGAATAGCCATTTACAAAACAAATCAGGATCTGAATCACTTAGAAAAAAAAACTGGTTCATTATTAGTCTGGCACCTGAGAAGGAATAGTTTGAAATCCATACATTTATACTTATACTGAACTCTTATCTTTTTCACCTGGCTTATGAAAACACAGGTTTTCTGAACCCTAGTTCAACCTCCCAATCACAATTTACTCTCTCATCACATGCTGTACTCGCATACTGTACAAATTAACCAATATTTACAAGTTGATATTGTGTCTGGAAGTGTGGGCTTCCCATTGGTTTTACAAGAACCAGCTTCAGTGTAGTGAAGTGCAATTACACAGAATTACTCTGCAGTTGTGGATACATATTATTGTTAAATTACCATTTTTTTTAATAATAGGTTTTATGTCTGACCCCTAAAGGTCACACAAGTTGGTACTTTTAGTACTTTCTTTGAATATTGTTGTCCTATTATTATCAGTATTATTTTGAGGGAATCCTCTAAGAATTTACCAGGATGTTTGACCTTTAAAGGGTCATGTATAAGGGATTTTAAAATCAACTCTCATAATATGTCATATACAAGAAAAAAGATGACATGTCTCTCTCTCTCACCAGACATTTTTTAAGGAACTTCCGTTAACAAGCACTTGGTGTTGTTGTTGTATTCCAGGTCTGTTTGACACCAAAATTAATGACATTAATGAAAGAAAGAATTGCCCAGTTATAGGGACAACACTGAACCGTTACCTGGCAACGAAAATAAGAATGTTAGTCAAGTATAGCTAAGGTACATGTGTGCCAGACAACCCAAATGAAATGATGACAGACGAAACACAACCGACTTTAATACACAATGTACCCAATCTGAGTAACGGACTTGAGGGGCCACAGTAATTGCATCCGCCATAATCGATACGAGTCCTACAAGATGTATACAACATGCATAAAATATATTGTTGCTTCACAAAATTTGAAAGAGCTCCAAATCACAGTCCTTATGATAATAGCACATCTCACAGGAATGGTACTGGGATTTTGAGTTCCAACGAAAATGTATCAGTACACAGAATGAAAATTTATTCAATGTATATTTTTAGGATAGGACCATCATTGTAAGTTAGCCACGTTTACAAAATATTTCTAAAAATAGATCTGACATAATCATAGAACACAGTACAGCAGAGATCAACTGATGACAGACAACCTGCACAGATATTTTTAACTCCAACAGTGTCACTTTGTTTTGACTTCCTGTGATTTGTTGTGAAGCCCAAGAAAGTTTAATGCTTTAACAAAACTCTGGAGAAATTGGTACAGTTGTAAATGCATTTGCTGGTATTTTAGTTTTTGTTTACTCATTTGTTTGTCTGATCAAACAGATTTATGAATAATTAATCACATTATGTAAATACTCAGATGTAATTTGAAACAATTCGTATTGGATGCTATCAGGAAAGAATAGCATTTTACCGACAAAACTTTGGTGCAACATTTGCTATATTTTTATGTAATTTTTCTTTAATTTCTTTGTTAATTTTGGACCAAATAAAGATAATTTTACATTACCCATAGGATGTGACCAACTTTTTTCTCACAAATATCATGCAAGTCTATTTTGTGAAAGGTGCCAAGAGTTGAAAGTCAAAGCAGCAGACTATATCAGTTTTCTATATATTTTTTTCACAAGTGTACACACCCTAACAAAAAGTGATGCGTCAACCATTTTCATTGCCACAATATTGATGAAATTATTCAAAATTTTTCACAAAATTCAAAAATTGTGAAATGAACAACAGAATATGATATTGTTTAAATATTTTGAACCAAAATTTTTGTAAAAAAAACCTAAAACAAGCAGTTGATTGAAACTATTGCACGAGGTGATGACATTTAATAATGGCGGTAGCAACATACATTTGTAAAGCCCTATAATTGTGTTAGCATAATACACTCCCATGGTGAAATAATCAACAATAAATAATTATCACTATATATTCTCATAATATTTCAGTATACATTACCTCCCAGAACCCTGAATTCTTAGATTTCATCTTCCTACGGAACCAACATGACAACTTTTGAACAAACTTCAGCATTTTTCTACTTATCGAACATTGTAAGTTAAAATTAAAATGACTAATGAAGTTACATTTAGAAAGGAAACCCACACCCCTTTTATTTTTCTTGTACAAGTAGGAAGTACCAATAGTTTTGGAAGTATCAAGCTGTTAAGAGTTCAAAGGTCTAGACAGAAACGAATGATGACAAGAAATTGGATGAATCAGTCTACATAATGATGTAATCTGTGATCACATGCAGCTTTCTCCAGGAGTCAAGCAAATCAGCAAATTTAAATATGATTTGCATAAAGAGATGATGTTATGCATCATACTAATTGCTATTTATTTTTTTGTATTTTTTTATATTTCGTTCCAGACAAAAATTCTGGACATTGAAATGTCAGTGTTTTCTCTCCTGATTGGTATATCATGGCAGACATATCAGTATACTAATTCTCTGTCAATGACATTACATGTATTCCCATGAACTCCACGTTTAGTCCTTGATTTCTAAATCACACATGGGTTCAGACATGTATTAAAGTTGTATTGTCTCTGTATGAAATTAATTGGGCCACGAACCAATCTCAGTAGTTTAGTTCAGGCATTCACTAGCATCTGTCAGACTGAGATGACAGGTATTCCTATCATACATTCATGTTTCAAGTAAGAACTCAAAATTCAAAATTCAGAGTCATCCTGTAGATTCAGGAGAAATAGGCCTTTGATATGCCCCCCCCCCCCCATAAATGCTACACATCCTGGTACTTTGCATGACTCCCAAAGGGCACTGATCCTGGCACTTTACATGACTCCAGAAGGTCACTCATCCTGGTACTTTGCATGACCCCTGAAGGTCACACATCCTGGTTATTTGCATGACCCCTAAAGGCCACACATCCGAGTATTTTTCTTGACCCCCATAGGTCATACATCCTGGTACTTTCTGGGAGGACCAAGGAAACAAATAGTGTTTCAAATTAAATTTATTGATGAAATCATCTTTAAATTGTGGATCTTAAAATCCAGTGTGCAATTCAGTGTGAATTAATGATGCCTGAAGATGTAGCTTCTGATGCACACTATACAGTTTCAATGGAAAATACGGTAGTTTAGCGGACACACACAATTAAGTCAGAGTAATACAAACACAATAACTCAATCTGATCAGAGTTTATTTCGCTTGTTTGGGTTTTATGGCTGCAAGTCATAACAATGCATGCTGTACATTACTGGCATACCTGACAAAACCATACAGGTACAGGATCCAATTCACCCCCATCATCAGTGTTACAGAAATGGTTTAATACGAACACCAAGAAAAAGATACACACAACACTTTGTCAACTTCTGACATTTTTTATACTATGTTTTTTGAAAACGTGTCCAAAAGATGGCTACAATGTTTACCAACATTTTGGCACGCAAATGTTATTGAGGTTACCTACATGTAGCTAGGCTGTTTAACTTTATTACTGACTGTTACAACCAGTTACCAACATGCAAAGAATTCACTCACTCGCATTTAATCAGTACTCCTAGGCAAGTGTGTTCGTTGTCAGTGAGATCTGCAACGCATGTCACCATAGTTGCATACCCTTAGAAATTATCCACCCTTGATTAGCTAACTATTTGTAGTTTATTATCATAGATACATTAGTAGCAGGAATCATAAATACCCATGATGCACCCTGATTCACATAAAATTAACGAGTCTCAGTTATCTTGCAGGAAGAG